TGCTCCCCTGAATCTACACAAGACATTAAATCATGAAATAAAAGAAGTTGAAGTTGGTTCCTTCCAGCTTAAGCTTCAAAAAGTTGTCTTTGACCGCTTAACGCTTTCGGAGATTTGTCGAAGCTATATAGATATTATTGAGAGACAATTAGAGGTTCCTGGGCTATCTTCATCTGCTAGTTTGGTTTTGATGCACCAAGTAATGGTGTGGGAATTGATAAAAGTTCTTTTTGCTGATAGGGAATGTACTTTACAGTTGAAATCTATGGGCGATGACAATGAGGAGGACATGATGCAGGATTCCAAGGAAGGGTCTTTAGAGGTTGATCCAGAAGCACTTCCTCTTATTCGAAGAGCAGAGTTCAGTTGCTGGCTTCAAGAGAGTGTATGCCACCGTGTACAGGAGGATATTGGCTCCTTGAATGAATCAGACTACCTAGAGCATATATTTGTACACTTGACTGGACGACAGTTGAATGCTGCCGTGCAGTTGGCCACAGCTAAAGGTGATGTGAGGCTGGCTTGTTTGCTAAGCCAGGCTGGTGGGTCCATAGTGAACCGTTCTGACATTGCACAACAGCTTGATCTTTGGAAAATTAATGGGCTGGATTTCAATTTCATTGAGAAGCATAGGATTAGGCTTTATGAGTTGCTTGCTGGTAATATCCATGGTGCTTTGCAAGAGGTTGAAATTGACTGGAAGAGATTTTTAGGATTATTAATGTGGTATCATCTACCTCCCGACACTTCATTGTCTGTTGTTTTCCGTACTTACCAGCATCTTCTTGATGATGGAAAGGCTCCATTTCCTGTTCCAATTTATATTGATGAAGGACCACTAAGGGATACTAAAAAATGGACTTCAGTGGATCATTTTGATCTCTCATATTATCTTATGCTTCTGCATTCCAGTGAAGGGAGTGAATTTCGCTTTTTAAAGACCATGTTCAGTGCTTTCTCTTCGACAGATGATCCACTTGACTATCACATGATTTGGCATCAACGTGTTGTGCTAGAAGCAGTTGGCGCTATAAATTCTAATGATCTTCAAGTTCTTGATATGGGCCTTGTTTCCCAGTTGCTCTGCCAAGGGAAATGTCATTGGGCCATCTATGTGGCTCTTCACATGCCCTATTGTGTAGATTATCCATATCTACAGGCTAATCTAATTCGGGAAATCTTATGCCAATACTGTGAATACTGGAATTCAGATGAATCACAACGCAAATTCATTGAGAACTTAGGTGTACCGTTGACCTGGATGCATGAGGCTCTGGTACGTTATTCTTTCATGTTGTTCCCTGTTACCTTGTGTGTGTACATGTTCACATATCATTTTATTTTCCCCCATCTTGATCTAATTTAGAATTGTTTAACCCTAACTAAATTATTTCACCTTTATCTTTTAGTTAATGTTCCTTCCTTAAATACTCTGTGATTACACATAATAATGACTACATATATGTAATAATGTGTTTTTCATTTATTTAAATGGTATTTGTTTATCTGTAGTTTTGATGTATATATAGTCATATGGAAATCTTTGTGTATGTATTATTGCTCTCTTTCGTCTAATGTGGTATTGTTTCTACTAGTTAAAAACATTTCCTTCCATGAAATGCAGGCAGTTTATTACAATTACCAGGGGGATCTTTCAAAGGCTCTTGAACACTTTCTTGATTGTGCAAATTGGCAGAAGCTCATTCTATTTTCATGACTTCAGTTGCTCATATATTGTTCTTATCGGGTAAATTATTTGTATGTACATATATATATATATACATCTAGATATATCGCACTCAAGATGTTGAATCTTAATAACTCAACATACATATTTATGTTGTTTATGATGTGTTGCTCGGTGTTCTTGAGGAGAAATAAGTTGTAAATTAAGGAACCAACAAATGAGTGCAAACCCAATACAAAAGAAGAGTTAAAAGAGAAAAAAAGGATCAGCATATTCTTAAGAGACATAAAGTGAAAAAGGTTCAAAATACAGGCCTATCAAGGATAACATATGAGCAAAATATGAAGGATCCTTGGCCAATGGTCCCTAATAACAGCAAATGAAGGGGGGTGTCCGAAGCTTCTTATATTCCTCTTTCCAAGTGACTCAAAATATGTAGAGAGAGACAATGGAGATGGCCCTTTTCTCGACTTAGGGGCGATACTACCACTCCAAACCCAAATGTGATTGTTGACACACTTGCACAGAAAATATGTAAGGAGTATATGAAAGGGGGATTCTCTCTTTCGTGCAAAGGAAACAATCATTTACCATGTTTTTGCCTCTTCTAATCCAGTTGTCTAAACTCCAAAGTAGGGATGTTGTCTAGGGTCGCAACTAGCTTTCTTTAGCCGAATAATTTAGTTAATGGAGTATGATTTTTTGAATATTGTCAAGCTTGACTATTGCTTGGACTCAACTAAACTTTTTTAGACTCAAATCAATTTGTTTGAAAAATCATAGAGTTCTAATATGGTTTGGGAAAAGCTTGGTGAAAACTTGGGCCTGGAATAAACTGGACCTCAAGCTCAAATTATATAAAATCAAGCGAGATAAGCTTGATGCTGAGCTTGGTTAACATCATATTTGCTTGAATTTGTTTAAACTTGATGCAAGTATATTTAATAAAATTTATTTGTTTTAGGAAAAATTGTAGTTTAATACTTTGTGGTTTGAAGTTTTTCATATTCAATGTATGTGGTTTATCTTTTGCAGTTTCAGTGCTTATGTTTTGAACGTTCGTTAGACAATATAATACTATCAGTTTGAACTCATGTACAGTCTGAATGTCAAGATGTTGACGCATAGATGACTTAAATTAAACTTTCTACAGTTAAAAAAATTAAAAATTCAAAGATCTAAAAATTTATAATGAAAATAGAACTGAATAATAAAACTTAAAGATTAAAAAAAATTTAAAATATCCAGACTGGAGAAATTTTTGTGTATATTAAAACTGATAAAACTTCTATATTTTTTTTATTTGTTAGAAAAGGTTAAGTGTATATACGTAATTTAATGTGTAAGGTAATAAGAGTAAGATAACCATATTTATTTAAAAAAAGATGTAAGATATATGTAATTAGTGTTATGGTTTCCTTTTCTATGCTAAGAGTTGTGTATATATAGAATTCTTTTATTCAATAATAATTCATTTTATTCTCTCACATGGTATCAGAGTTAGGGAAAGATACCCTAGCTCTTTCCAATCCTAATCAGTTGCTTCACGGCAGAAATAAGGAGATAGAAAAAAACCTATTAGTGCCAGCCTTCATAGCTGGCCACCACCATGGCAGCTGTTGGCCTTCATAACCAGGAAAAAGCAACTACAAACCAGCTATGTGTTTGTTCTGCTCAGCCCTACTTTGCTTTGCCATACACCACCTCTGCCACACACCACCTTTAACTCAGCCATTATAACAATGCACAGCAGCTACTGCAGCCCTTATGCGGCCATTCTGCCCCTGCCATTGCAACCCTTCTATAGTCGCACAACAACGAGCAGCAACCTACTCAACTGTCACACAGACCACCAACTCAGCTGTACTATCACTATTCACTTGCTGTAGCCGCGTAGGTACTTAGTTGCAACTGCCTAGCCGCATCTGCTATGCAGAATCCAATGTGCACAACCCTATTTCCACTGAATTGATACACACTATTACTATACTTCAGCCAGCCTCCATCGCCAGCTAACTAAAACAACCTGTCTTCATTGCCTGGATGTCTTTCCACTATATTTTTCAGTTACGTCTGAAGTTACGTCACAAGCCACTGGCACTACCATGATGGAGTAACTCTACAAAATTCAAATGGAGAATTACAACACATTCAGGCAATCTATCGTTTGAATAAAAAAATACCTGAGGTGGTCGCAATTGATCATGCTATCTTAAGAGGTAAAGGAAAAATCAACTACCTTTTAGGAACAAAGTCACAACCAGGAGATCCTCGATTTGATCCATGGATGGAAGAAGATTCTATAATCATGACCTGACTTTTGAATTCTATGATCCGGAAATTAGTGACACCTGTATGTTCCTGCCAAATACCAGAGAGATTTGAGGGGCTGTGAAACAAACCTACTCAAAGGTCCACGAGGCAACTCAAATGTATGACCTGAAAATCAAGACAACCTCCATAAAACAAGTAGAGCGATTATAGAGTATGCGACTGCAGGTGGGAATTGGCTAGCCAGAATAAGCAGGTCAAGCACACAGCCTTTCTTGCCGGAATAGGCTGGTCGTGCAGCTATTTCCAGTTGGTAGTGGCAGGATGCGCAGCGGATGGCAGAGGAGGCTGCAGCTGGTGGCGTGCTGGTGAGTAGTTGGGTGCAGTTTCTCGCAGGAGAAGGAGCTGCACTTGCAGCTCTGTTTTTGGTTGCTGGCAAGCAACAAAGGTTGGCTTGGCTGTTGACGGCTGGCGACTGTGGTGGCCAGCTATGAAGCCTAGTCTTCCCTCTTTAGAATTTTTCTTATTTTGAGAACAAAGGTCTAATAAGGCTTGTACAAAAATTTACTATTTCTTAATTTTGGATTCTAATACCATGTTAAAAATAGTTAAATGTGTATTTTATTAAATATCACAGCCGTATATATACAGATTTTCTAGAATAGAAGAGAAAATAATCTATTAATTTCATTAATTATATAAGGCATATTTTACTCTGATGCTCGTTAACCTAATTACATATAACACACTCTCTTTACGACAAATATTCTTCAATAAGATTGTGAAGGTGTGCTATATCAAAGGGGAAAAAGGAAAAAGAATGGGAAAGGGTGAATACCTTCATTGGTTGATTTTAGATGGGCATATTGGACCATACAATGAACTGAATGTTTCAGCAGATTGAGATTTACTATATATTTTGAGATGGTTTTTTCTGGCAGTTGGGAGTGCGCTGCTCTAAGTATCAGAATCATATATTTTCGGGTTTAAGTTAATGTTAGAATGTACAAACTGCTGGGATATATGTTGGGCGAATCTATGTTAATGGTGATGCATGTCTTTCTTACCATTTCCTTGATAAAAATGCTGTATAAGGGGCTGTCTCTATCCAAGGTTCACGTGACCAGAGGTTTCTTTATTTAGTTTCAGAGCTTCCTGGTGTCAAGCTTTATTAATATTTACAGACTGATCCTTCGAAGGATTGAACTGATTTAAAATTTGGAATTTTCAATTCCTGTAACAGAGGCCAAACTTCCATTTCTACTTATTTATTTTTCTTCTTTATCACAGTTGTTTCTGTGGTTGGTAAAACATTGATTTGTTAGAAATTGAAGATGCTCTGCTTTGGGTCATTAAAGTCAAAGAAATTTGGAACAAGTATGAAAATTATGGTTGTCTATAACATTCACCTATCCAAGAAATAGTACCTCAACTATCTGCTTGTTAAACCGCCAGAAATATGCTGATGTTACGTGTTTATTTTCTTCAACTTAGAGAATTAATGAATGAAACTTTGATGATTATGGACTTTGCTTCACTTGCTTGTTTATTGATTCATCTATTATTGGTCTTCACATAATGCAGCTAATCACTCAGAGATCTGGAGAATTGCAACTATCATGGAGGGTAATAAGTCAGAAATTGAGAATTGGGACTTGGGTGCTGGGATCTATATATCCTTTTATTTACTAAGAAGTTCATTGCAAGAAGATAATGACCCTATGGGGACACTGGTACGTGATTGCCTTGTGTTCATGAGTGCAAAAGCTATTGTATGTGATATGTTGCCTTCTGCATCATAACTAATATTAAAAAAGCAACTGAAGTAATAATTAGGGTTTGTGGCAAGAAGATATGGTTTCTTGTTCTTCGACAGAAATGAAGTTTATTATAAATAAAGCATAAGAAGGAATTTTAAGTCATGATTGGGTTATACCTTGCCTTATTCCTTTGTCAATCATGTGGGTTATTTGGAGATAAAGAAATAGCAGGGCCTTTGACGTTAAGGAAAAATCGCTTGTTAAAATTAGAGATAGATGGTTTCATCTTTTTTGTTCTATGGTCTTGGGACACGATTCATATAGTTGTGAGGGTTTTGGGGTCATTGTAGATATACTTACTGACCATTTGTAAATTTTTTGTACTTGGGTGGTACCCTCTTAGCACCTCACATTAATCTACTCACTTTTTATTTTTATTTTTTTTTAAAAAGAAGGCATTTTGATGCATGTTGTCTAGTTACATTTCAATTATCAACTAGATCTATAAACTCCTATTTTTTTAAATACATTTCCTAACCATTAACCTAAAGATATGATTCCTTGTTAGCATAGTGATAGTTGTAATCTAATTTAACAGTTGAAATGGGCTTGACAATAGTGATACCATTTCTTTTTGATGGATGTTGTATTTTGTTAGTCATACATAAAACATAACTTGAAACTTGAAACCTTAGATCTAATTCAGCTGACAAGGAAGTCTGATCCCGACCTTTGACCTTTCATGATTTGGGTTCAACACTCGTTGAAGTAAAATCTTGAATAGACAAATCTGATGTGGAGACCTCTAATTTGTCCCAAAGGAGATTTTAATCTCAAGTAAAGCTCGGATATACTCCATCCAATCTAAAGACAAAAAAAAAAAATGAAAATGCCGAAGTTGAACATCCTTAGAAATCATTTTAGTTATTGTTTTGTGTTCCCTGTGTATTCATTCTTTTTATTCTTAGAAAATGTATTCATTATTTTTTTTTTCTTCTCTTGGTGAGTAGTTATTATGGGAGGCCTTAAACCCTGAATAGGGAGGTCTGGAAGTAACTAGTGAGGGCGACCTTGCTGGTTTAAATATCATTGAAGGCTGATGATTGTCTATTTTTTTTTTCCTGCAGGAGTCTCTGGAGAACAAAAATGCTGCTTGTGACGACTTCTTCGGTTGTTTGAAAGAGTCTCTGGCAGTTTGGGGCAGCAGGTTTCCAGTTGATGCAAGGTACTTATATCAATCCCTTGCCTTGTTGCTAAATTTTAGCTACCGTTGGTAGTTAGAGGAACTGTGGAAGTTTACCCATTTATTTGTTTTGAATTAGAAGCGTGGAAAGTAATATTTTCATTTTAGATGGTTGGTAGCGAGAAAGATTAATTCTTGCAGTCCTGTACAGCCAAGCAAGGAAAGGGAAATAAAATAAATTTCCACTTTGATTCAAGGGTTCAAAAATACTTGGAGCAATGTTTGATCGGTATTGTTGCCTTGCATTATAATTAAGTTTGTAGTCAGTTTAGACTACATTTTTTTAAGAGGAAACTGAGAGAAACGGTACTCCACCAAGGGGATGCCACCCAAGTATAAAAGAAGCTTCACAGATTGTGATATGGAACAACTACAAGGTTCCCTAGGTACTTGTCAAGTTAAGAGGCTAACCATTAACTTAAAAATGCATGATCTAGAACTCGTGATCTCTAATGCTAGCAAAAGGAGGCATAGTTCCATAAAGAACCATCTTCTTCCTTTCTTTCCATATAACATAAGTAACAGCCATAAGTGAAAAATTCTTTTTTCCTGTCTTGTGTACTCTAGTACCATTTCGAGCCCATAATATATCACCATTTGAACCACTGGATGCCCATGATAGGATTTGGAAGGACAAAGATGAATCTCATAGCCTTCTATCTTCAACACATCTAAGAAGAAGATGGTTAGGGGATTCATTTTCTTGCAAACATGTCAGGCATCCATGCCATGAGTGTTCCATGCTTCCTCAAGTTATGCGTCGTAGGAATTTTCCCCAAACCACTTCATAAGGAAAGAAGCCACTTGAGGGAGGAGGCTTTCTTCTAAAATTGCTTCCATGAGAATCTCGAGACAACTACACTCTGAGAAAGAAGGTTGAGATAAAGGGATTTCACGGTGAATAAACCATTCTTTGAGTAGGCCACACAGGACAATCACAAGCATTAGGCTCAAAATGGCAGGAATCAAGAAGAGTTAAGAGAGAGAGCATTTCTTCGATTTCCTAATCATTAAGATCCATTTTCTTGAGTGCCCAGAATGAGGGGGTGAGGGTTTGTGACTGCTTTGTGAGGGAGCCTGGTGGTAGTGGAGTTTGGCAGGTGTTGGTGTTTAGGAATTTAAACAATTGGGAATTAAATGAGTACGAGAAGCTGATGAGAGCTATCTCACATGCATCCCTTGTCAACAATGTTGATACACCTCCTTGGACACTCATGAAAAATGGATCTTTCATGGTAAAATCCTGGTACAAAGGGCTCTCACAAAATGCTAATAACGTTGGTACACTCCCACATAAACAAATTTGGAAGGTCAAAGTTCCACCACAGATTTCTTTTTTTGGCTTGGGAGGCTAGTAGAGGGTGCATTCTAACAATTGATAAACCAAGGAGGAGGGGCTTGGCTCTGGTTAATGTGCGCTATATCTGGAAGCAGGTGGAGGAGAGTTGTAATCACTTATTGCTGTGGTGCCCTATGGTGTATCTGTTGTGGACCATGGTGTATAATTCGCTTTGGATAAGCTGAGTGATGGCTGGTTCTGTTAGGAAAGAGTTATGGGCTTGGGAATATCTAAGAGACAGATGTATTTTTGCTGGTCTGATCCCGCTGACTCTTTTATGGTCTATATGGTCTGTTTGCAAGGAAAGGAACGGAAGGACGTTTGATGGGATAGATGATATAAAGGGTTTTGATGTTCTTAAAAATAGATGGCTTAGGATCCTAGAATTTTTGTTGTTGGGGTCTATGTTTTTTAGGCTCTTAGAGTCTTTTTTTTGTGCTGAGGACTGAGCTACAAATAATTGCACATGGTTTGCTCCTATTGGTATTTATAGTAATACATATTTACATTTTTTATTTAAAAAAAGAGGTTTTGCGACCGATTGATATCCTACAGAGGAAGATAGATGCATTGCTGAGCACCATGTCCTTAACCAAAGAATCCTTATCCTAGAAATAACAGACATGTCGCTAAATCTATCTTTTAGAGGTCTTTACCCACACCATTTATTCAAAGAATCCTTATTTTAGAGGATGATAGTAAAGGTTAAGTATAACTCTAATCCTTACTAACCCACTTACAAAGGCTAGTACGATAACTATAACTAGTCCTAGTTGTCCTCCAGCCCCTGCTGTCTAGCCAATATTTTACAATAATCACCTCTGTTGACAAGCCATTGCTATTAGAGATCAACTTCTCAGTTGGTCAATAGGGGCTTTTAATGGCATTCAGGGATCTTTTACCAAGGCCTCCCAAAGTAAAATGTCTTTTCGCTGCATCTCAGGCGCCACAAGATGGCACTCTTTCCTAATGTCCTCTGGATGAATGCCCAACCCTTCAATTTAGATTAGATTGTTTGGTTAGACAAAAAGTTTAGCAAATAAGATTGTAATGTAATCATGATTAAGTTCTTTAACCTATTTAACACAATGATTACATTTAACTTTTGAAACCATGACGTTCTAATGTGCTTAGATACTTGGAAAGCCATTCCATAATGAATCATGATTAAATTCTTTAACCTACATAATAATAATTACATTTAAATTTTATAAGGAGACTACAATGTGCCTTGAGACTCAAAAAAGTATTTGATACCCAAAATATTTAGAAATGGCCCTGATTACTTAATAATGTCTCCAATTGCCAAAAATGTCTAGAAACAACTCAATATACTTGGAACATCGAGAAATGCTTTCGCGTATCTGAAATGGCTAGAAACTTAGGTACTCAAAACTCAACATGCTTAGAAATGCTTTGCCCATAAAAGCTTGACCCGGAATGCCTATAAATGCCTCCAAATATTGAAAATGCCCTGAAATGCTCAGACATACAAAAATGACGTTCAAACCCCCAAGATGCCCAAAAATGTCATGGCTTCCTAGAATAATCAGAAACGTGTTTGGCTACCAAATTACCCAAAATTCTCTGAAGTAATAGATAAATGCTCTGAGGTACTCTAAATATCCAAAATTACTTGCATATCCCCTGGGTACTCAAACATATTAAAAAATGACTCTGATTATCCAAAATACCAAAAATTTCTCCGGGGTACTCAAAATACTGGTAGATTCTCTCTAATATGTGGAATGCCCAAAGACACGCTTGGGTACCAAAAAACCCGAAAACTTCTCTGTTTATCCAGAATACCTAGAAATGTACATGAATTACATAGAAATGTTGCTGAGTACTTGACATATTCAGAAATGTGTTTCAACAATTGAAAATCCAAAAATCACCCAAGTGCTTGGAACCCTAAAATGCCGCTGAAGAACTGAGATACCCAGAACACTCCCGAGTTTCCAGAATATCTAAAAACGCATTGGGCTTTTGAAATATACAAAAACACCCACAAGAACCGAAATATCCAAAATTTCCTTGAATGCTTGAAATGTCCCTGAATATCCTCAAGTACTCGAAGTATCCAAAAACTAGGTACTGAATACCCCAAAAAATGCCCCTTGATGCTCAAAATATTCAAAAAAATGCTTGCGAGTATGAGGATACTAAAAAAAGCCTCTGACCACCTAAAATACCCGGAAATACTCCGGATTATCCAGAAATACTTGCTAACACCCTCAGATTCCCAAACTATTTAAAAGTGCCTTTAAATATCGACAATATCTGGAATATCTTAGGACAATAAAAATTCCAAAGCACCCTGGTCCTCGGAAGTCTCAGAATTCCAAAAATGGGCTGTGTGATGCAATCAAAATTCTTAAATATAATACTTAAAGAATTATTAGGTATGATATTAAAAAAGCGCTAGGTATAATATCTAGGTTTTGTTCCAAAATTTTTTGAGACATTGTTCCGAAATTCTTAAGTAGACAATTTAACCCTAAATGAAAATAGTAAAAGATCATTTTCCTGTTTTAGATATTGTCTCTATCTGAAGATTATTATGATGCTCGGAAATGATAAGGTAATATTTGTTAAGAAGAAATTGTTGGACCGAGCGACATAATAGAGTGCATTGTAGTTTTATTGAACAGTACAAAAAATATTAAGAATTAGAAACAATTTGTTTTTATAAAATGTTGGACTAAAGTTGTTCTGACCAAAATAAATATTTCTCTAAACTACCATTTCTCTTGTTTTAATCATCCTTCTATCTTATCTTCTTATGTGGCATCAAATTATTATTTTTTTAATATTATTTTTTAACTGGTGGTGCCACAAATTGGTGGCTGGTGATCTAGCATTGGAAGGTTGACTTGTGTTTCAAGTGTGCTTGACATTATGAACAAACCTTATCTGCAGAGATTTTTCTTAGGGGTGACTGTCTAATGCTTAAGTTATCTCAGATTTTTAGAGAATAAAGAAAATTTAAAGAGCTCTTTTAGAGAAATGAGAAGTTATAAAGTTATGAGTTTGAAACCTTGTACCGTGAGAAGCTGGTAGTACTTATAGAGGTCTAGTGAAGGGCAGTGTTATAGACTCATTTGTGGGTCATTCTTATTGCAAAAAAGGCAAATAAGGAGGTGATATGGTTTAGATTTATCCTATTTTGGAAACCTATCTATTAGTTAGGAAAGATTATGATAGGTCCCAATCAGAATGCACACTCTTGGCTTGGTTATTTCTGCTTGAGGTGAGAAACAAACCCAGAATTTCAGAATAAATTTCGATTTGCTTTTTCATTCATGGTGGTTTCTTTAAATAAACAAGAGTTTAACTAAAATCTCATACTTCTACATAATGGATAAAAAGGAAATTACATGTAATTGTAAATGCTGCTAATGGATAGAGTAATGGAGCATATCATGATGGGTAGTTGCAGTGAAACATATCGTGATAGTTGACTGGTTCCCGTTGCTTCCCGTAGCTGTAGTTATTGGAGAAAATCGCGGAGAAGCTGGTCACGTTCATGGAGGACTGAGTCCGCGGTTCCCATATCTTGGGTTGGGGATAGGGATCCGTTGAGATCTTCGGGGGATCCTATCATCATCTCTCTCTTTCAAAAGAATCTTGTCCTCAAGGTTCAAGTTGGGAAATCTCTCCTGTAAGGTTTGCGAGTTCTCCCAGGTGGCATCCGCGAAGGTCATGTGTTGCCATTTTACCAAGCTCTCTTCAATGAACCATGACCCTTTTTTTACCCAACGGCGATCGAGGATTGCTGCTAGTTGGAGAATTACAGTACCGTCTTCGGTGATGGCGGGGAGGTCTTGAGTGGGCAAGAGGGAATCATCCACTTGCTTCTTGAGGAGTGAAATCTGGAAAACCGGTTGAATACGAGAGCCTTCCGGGAGTTTGAGCTTGTAGGCTACCGGGCTGATTTTCTTTTCCACTTGATAAGGCCCGAAATACTTGCAGGCTAATTTCTGTAAGGCACGTTAGAAGACTGTGTGCTGGCGATAGGGATGGAGTTACAGGAAGACCCAATCTCCTTCGTGGAGTTCCATATGGTGACGTCCAGCATTGGTGGTTTGTTGCATGTGTTGGTTGGCGGCGTGTAGGTTGGCCTTTAATTGTGCCAAGATCTCATTGCGAGCTGTGAGCTGTGAGCTGCTGATCAACCTCATGGATGGCGGTAGTCCCAGTGGTATAGTGAAGGATGGCAGGGGGCG